GCATCGCCTCCTGCCTGCTTTGTGCCCTTCCCACATGGCCCAATCACCTCAGATAGGTGGTCTCTAAGGATTTCTTTAAGGTTTGCAATCTGTTGAAGCGGAAAAGTTTTCTAGTTGACTAAAAACAAGTTCTAAATCCAGTATCCACAACTGTTTGTTTTACAGATGAGGTAACTGTAGAAAAATGCAATAAACAAAACTGAAATAGTCTTTGCTCTGTTGTGATCGTGGGGCTCCGGGAATCTTGTTGGATTTTGGCCTTTGACTTTGTGGTCTGTAAACAGGAATTCACCTAGATGATCTCAGACTGACTTAAATTTGTTTATGTGTATTTTTTTTAATTAAAATTTTATTCTTCACCTCCAAAATTTCCATTTGGTTCCGTTTATGTTTTTTATCTCTTTGTGGAACTTCTCATTTTGTTTTCCTGACTTGGTTAAATTATTTATTTGTGTTCTCTTGTAGCTCTCCGAGCATCTTTAGAACAATTATTTTGAATTCTTTATCAGGCAGTTCATGTGTCTCGATTTCTTCGGGGTCAGTTATGGGAGGTTTTCTGTGGTCCGTTGGTGGTGTCATATTTCCCTGATTCTTCATGACCTTGTCACGTTGTGTAGGTGTCTACGCATTTGAAGAAGCAATCACCTCTTTCAGACTTTGTGCACTGACTTCTGTAAGGAAAGACCTTCACCTGTGGGCGGGAGACGGTGGTGCGTGCTGTGACCCAGGTCTAGTGGTACAGGGAGCCAAGTATGCGGGCTTGTGGTGGCTCCAGGTCTAGGGAGGTGTGATATCTTGACAGCTCAGGCCACTGGGGTCCACAACGTTGAAGACTGTGTGGTCCTTGGCGAGCACTCTGGGGGATCCACAGTGGCTATTGGGGGTCCTCAGTGGTACCTCTTGGTCTAGCAGCTAGGGACCAAGGCAGGCAGTGATGATGGCCGGAGGGGGTAGTGTGTATGCACTAGGCTGTGGGGGCCAGCAACAGCTGTCTGTGTCATGGTAGGGACCAGGTATGTAGTGGCAAGGGCCAGGGCCAGGGCCAGCAGCAAGGGCAGGGACCATCTGTGGGCACACTAGCAGCTGCGATACCCCTGGCTGTGGGCGTGTACTCCTGTAGCTGCAGGGTCTTGCCATGGGCTGCCTATAGCAGTGGAGGCTGGTCACAGGAGTTGGGCAGGTGGGGTGCAGGTGCACAGCTGGAGGGGCTAGTTGCAGCTGAGCTCAGCGGTGCAGGCCAGTGCCAGGAGTCAGGGCCAGATCCAGGCCCACAAATGACTGTGGAGGCCCTGGCTGTGAGCGTGCACTCCAGCGGCTTCATTAAAATTTAACAGCCGGCACTATTAAAAAGCCATTTCTGATGCCTAGCCTAAATTTGCCCTGGTCTGCTGCTCCTTTCTTACCCCATTCTCTGCCTCAACAGAAGCTGCTCCCTGCCATCTGCACAGGGACCCTTCACGCCTTCATGCAGCTTCCCATGGCACTTTCTCTCTCGCTCACTATGTGTGTTCAGGGAGCCAGGAATTTCATCACCTTCCGCAAACCGCAGGGAAACACATTTTTAGGCAGTGTGTGGCGGACCTTTGGGGCTTCTCAAATTACAGACACCACAAAAGTCGCCTCTCTTGCTTATCATTTGCTGACTGATTGATTAGCTCAGATCCTCTGGATGAAGAGATGGGGCAAGAAGTTTCTAATAATTGCATTAATATCCCATAGTTCCACAAATCTATTTGCTTACCCCATCCAAAGAGCCCATGTTTAAAAGTTTGAAGAGGATTGCAAATCACTTGTTTCCCAGCTGATCTAATTTCTTCCTTCCAGTCACATATCATAAAGAGAGTATTTGCTGATGTTTGCATGCTGACGGTGTGCCAGGCACTGACTGAAACTTTTCACCACAGCCCTATCAGGTAGGCACTGGTGACAGACCCCTTTTACAGATGAGAAAATGAGGCCCAGAGAGTCTAAGTAACTTGCCAATGTTAACACACGTACAAAGTGGCAGGGCTTCTTGCCTGACAAACCGCCAGGGCATCCATGGCGCAGGAGGGCCAGTTGGCCCTGGCCTTGCATGGAAGGCCTGAAATTCAGATATTTGACATTATTTCCACATCCAGTTATACAGACAGTCACAGAAATACACCAAACCACTGAAGGAAGTCTGTCACCCAACTTGAACCACAGTGACCTCAGAACACTATGGATATATATATACATATACTGTGCACACACACAATTATGTTACATTTATGTAGCACGAAATTATGCTATATTTCATTTTTGGATATTTTAAAATCTTTGGTTAGGTAAGCACAATCATTTTAAACATGCCATAGTTTCAGTTTCCCCATTTTATACTTCTTCATTTTATAATATACAAACTCTCAGCAGTGAAATTGGGTTGACCATGTCTTGATGTTGGAGAGGTCCCAGTGCCTAGAACCATAGAACTAGGAAGGAAACAGAGACTATCTCGTTCAACTTCTTCATTTCATATGTGAGGGAATGAAGACAGAGAGATGTTGAGTAACCTCTCCAAGGTCACACAGCTAGAACGCCCTTCCACTGATAGACGTACCAATGTGCTCTGTCTTGCACCCGCTGCTGTTGATACCTGGCTCCTGCCTCTGAATGAGCAAGGAGAGAAGTTGCACCCAAGGTCACATGTTAATGGGAACATCCTGGAGGCCATAAGACATTTATTTTAAGGTGAAGGGGTTCAGAACAGGCCTCCCCAGAATGTGCCACTTTGGCATGTGGAATATTTGGAACTAAAGGCAATCAAGGCCCTGCGGGCTGGAGAAAATTTACCTCTCCTTTCAAGAATTTAAATTGGGGGCCTTGTCCATAATAAGAGTTATTACCAGAAATAAGTTTTTATGACCTATCTCTATGGCAGGGCAAACCTTTAATTACTGAACATCTGCTCTTCTTATCGTCCTCTCCTCCTCCCCTCTGAAGCCTCAGGCCCCTAGTCCATTTCTTAGCTCAAGTTGGCATCTATACCTCACTTTACCTTTTTGTCTCTGAACCTCTCATGTACATGGGGTCTCTGACCCTCTCACGTATGTGGAGCTCCTGTATGTACAAAATTAACTAAATCTGATTTTTTTTCCTATTAATCTATCTCACGTCAATTTAATTCTTAGACCACTCAGAAGAACCTAGAAGGGTAGAGGAAAATTTCTTCTTCTCTCAAAAAGGCCAAAGACTCCTTCCTGTGTAATCTTTTTTTGTAGGCAAAAAGGTTACATTTCTATAGAACTTTTCACCCTTGAAAGCCCTTTTGGAACTGAGAATCAATACTGAACCTCACGACCACCCTGGGAGGAGGTGTGTGTAAGCATTGCTATTTCTGTTTTTTGGATGGGGAAACAAAAGTCAAGAAATGTTGCACACCTTTCCCTAGGTAACGCAGCTAGGTAGCGGCAGAGCTGTTACGGTAATTTGGGACTCCGGGTTTGGTACATTGCACTGAACTGCACTGCTTTCCTGTGGACAATGTGCCTTGTAAGAATTACAATTACGGAATTACAGACGAGAGAAGCACAAGCATTTTTCTTCTTCTGAGGCTATTCATAAACCATTATCTAATCCAGTGTATTTTCTCTGCAAGAAACTATTCTTCAAGTGATCAGTAACTTGGCAAAAAAAGATAATTAGATCATCTGAACGACATTCATAAAGTGAACCCTATTTCAGGATAGACATTAAGCATTTGCAATGTTCTGAACGGACTTCCTTTCAGGGGTGAGGTGTAAGATCCATTTTAATGAAGCTTAGTCTGGGAAACCAGCATATTGCAATTAAAAATGCAGCCCTTGTAGCCTTGCAATTCTTTGTCTAAAGCCCTTTTACAAAAGACAGTATTTTAATTCAATAAATAAAAGACAGGCACTTCCAGCTTTCCTACAGGCGGCGTAGCTACCGCATGCCGCTAACACGCACAACAGAGGAAATACACAAACAGCGTTTGATCTTGCCTTGCTGCAGGAGTGTTTCCATCTTTCAGGAGCCAGAGGGAAAAACAACCTCAGAACTGTACCGACCAAAACTTCCAAATTTATTGCAACACAACGTAATGGCAAAATGCTATTTTCTTAGTGCTCACATTTTTGAATAACCACCATGGCCAAGAACGCCTGGTTTTATTTTTACAACAAACCCAGAGAAAATCTTGAATTCCACTCTCAATTTGGGGATGGCCAAGATGCCGTGGGTTGTTCGGAGCAAACCATTGAGTCTAATCATTCAGTCTTATCCTCTTTGTTTAACCTGTGCTTGAAGCATTTATTTCATGTTCATCCTGGTTTGACACAAATCATGCTTAAAAGAGATTTCATATCCTGTTTGCTTGTGCTAAGTTGAGCTACGATAGTAAACTTAACAATGCCAGCCCTTTCTCAGTAAAAGAAGCAATCAGCTTAAGAAAACACTTCCAGTGGAAACAAGATACAGAATTGCACATATAGCCACATTGCACTGAGATCTGTCTGAATAGAGAAAAGTATAGATCCATGCTAAATAAAAATTTCTCTTTTAATTTAGCATCAATGTGCCCATTTCTCTTACTGCTTTTCATACATTGTTATAAGCAATTTGTCACATTGCTATTGTATTCCACCTAGGAAGCAAGGTATAAAAAAAGGCAGGATAATAGAGAGACTTAAATGTACTTTAAAGTTCTACCCAAATGTCATACTTTTCAACTTATTTTAACCATAATCAAGTAGTTTAAAGATACAGCGCAAATCTTGTTCTAATCTTATCTTAGCACAATTTATGTACAGTGGCTATCCTACATCACATTACTTGTTTACAAGGTGTCAACTACCACCCACTCCCGTCTCAACTTTCTTGAGACTGAAATTTGTACAGACTGATTTCTTGGTCAAGGTGTGTTTTGTAGTTTCTTAATGATAAATACATTTTAGTGTTTTTATAATAAGGAATGGAAAGCAAACTATCTACGTAGCTTAGCAATTCATCAGACATACCTTGTTTGAAGAAAGCAATTTTTTTCAAAAATTTTCCACCACACAGAATGGATATCCTTTTTTCCTTAAGCTTTTCTGCATCACAAATCCCATCCAAATTATTCTAAAGAAGAAACGAGAAGAGGTCCAAGCACCTTTTCTCCTCTTCTCAGAGGAGCTAATCAAACATTCCCATCAACCTCTCAGCACTTTGAAAAGCACATTTTACACCACACACACACACACATGCACACACACGCACACATACTGCTCCTCACACTGGTTTTAGTGCTGAATTAGGCGGTCCTCTTTCAAATTTCCACTCCCACTTGCTTTTTTTTTTTTGGCTAAGGATTTCTAAATATTCTTTTCTAGCCCAAAGCACACATTTTCGGTAAGCAAATTATACAATTAGAAATTCTAAAAAGTAGAAGAAAAGCACCTAGTTAAAATGGAAAAGAAAAAATATACTTTAAAAATGACAAACAGGGCAATTAAATTTTCTCTCTCTTTCTTTTTCAAGTGCTAGTGAACAGCTAGATTAAACTGCATAAACAAAGAAAACTGCAAACACCGCCGAGCTGATCCTACTGAACTCTCACTTTTGGGGTGAAAAGGCTTACTTTTCCTACATGTCAGTGATATTTTTTGGTTTAGTTCGCTTCGGTCTTTTCTGTATTTTGGCAGGCTTAATGAAATGACTGTAGTCTATGCTGCTGGTAACAGGACACAAGATAATAATAGTGGGAAGCAAAATCTGACTCATGTTTCAAAAAACCAATGATGGATAGCTCACATCATAAGTGAAATCTGTCCATTTGAGTTATTTACATACTAGTATCATCACTTAAATTGAAGGGACTCAGACCCAAACATGCATGAACACATCACAGCATTTTAAAAACAGCCCATATGAAGTCCATCTGGCACTTCTTGAGATTCAACTGTCTATCAGTCTGACAGAGCATCTTCTCTCCAGCAGTGCGGGAGGTAGTAAAGAGCCATTCCTCCTCCTGCTGGGGAATGTGAACTCACGCAGACCAGGAAGGGGACTATTCTCACCAGCAGCCCTCCCGTCTCAACTGTTGGCCCTGGGATTGCTTCTTATTTAAGATTATGATTTGAATGTTATTTAACCTTTTCCGCCTCTATTTGATTCTGCATTTACATTGTTTCTCAATTCTGTTTCTTTCTCCACAAAATCCTGAGCCTAGGTCCATTGGTGGTAAGGATGGTGCTGCCACATGGAGGATGGCCTCTCCCATCATTTGAGTCAGGGAAGATTCAGATGAAATGACAGCCCAGCATAAATAATAATAATAATGATTGCTATTTATCAAATACTTACTTTTTGGTAGGAGTGGTGATAAGCCCTCTACATATATCATCTCATTTAACACTTAGAAGAATCTAGAGGGGTTGGTACTATTAGTTCCATTCTACAAATAAGAGAATTGAGGCTCAAAGAGATTAAGTAACTTTCCCAGGGTCACCCAGCCAGAAAGGCAAGATCTGGGATTCAAATTCAAGGCTGTCTGACTCTGAAGCGAAGGGGCTATGTTAGGACTTACAGCTTCTTCTCTTTTATTAGTTTAATTTATTTTCTTATTGTGAATAAGACATAATCACATGTAAATGTGTTGAAAATCATATGAAGAGATGCTCAAAGAGAAATGCAAATTAAAAAGCAATGACATTTGCGGTGATGAAAAATTTTGGAAACAGTGATGGTTGTATGACATTATGAATGTAATTAATGCAATGAATTAATTAACTTAAAATGGTTAAAATGGCAACTTTTTTGTTATATATGTTTACCACAATAAAAAATAGTAGAAAAAAGAGAAATTCTATTTTTAAAAAAAGCAGTGAAATATCACTTTATTTTACTAGATTGGCAACAATTAGAAGGCTGGAAAATGCCCATGGCAAATTTTGGTGGCCCTGATGGGCTGCTGGTGGTGGGGACAAATGTGGTTATTATAGAGAGCCATCCAGAAGTAGTTAGTCAAATTAGTTGTGTACCCCAGAACCCGTCAAACTCCTTCTGGAGTGTATTCTTTGGTGAGCTTCTCATACAGGACCGTAAGAAGTCCATCCCTGGAGAATCAATGAATTAAATATGGGAGATGCACAGTATGAACTATCATGCAGCAGCTAGAAGCAAAGGGCAAGATGTGGGGTTTGAACATTCATCCCCAGGCCAGATCACCTAAGTTTCGCTGTTGGTTTTAGCACCTGACATATAGCTAGTAACCTAAGCTCTCTGTTTCTTAGTTTCTTCATCTGTAAAATGGGAAAAATAATAAAACCTATATTACAGAGTTACAGCAATTAAAGGAATTAATACTTGTACAGTTCTTAGAATCTTGCCTCATATGAAGCAGGTACTATATAAGTGTTTGCTAAAAAAATAAAATGTATGTACAACATTACCATATTCATTTTCTGTTGCTGTGTAACAAATTACTACGAATTTAGTGTCTTAAAACAACACCCAGCTATTATCTCATCGTTCCTACGTCAGAAGTCCAGGCCTGGCTGGGTTCTCTGCTCAGGGTCTCAGAAGGCTGAAATCAAAGTGTCAGCAGGACAGGGTTCTTATCTAGAAGCTCTGGGAAAGAATTCACCTTAAACTCATTCAGGATGTTGGCAGAATCCAGTTCCTTGCAGTTGTAGGACTGAGGTTCCCCTTTTCTTGCTGGCTGTTAGCCAGGGGCTGCCCTTGACTCTTAGAGGTCACCTGCACTCCTTGCCACATGGCTCCCTCCATCTTTAAACCAGCCAGGGTTCGTTGAATCCTTTTCATGCTTGGATTCTCTCTGACTTCCTCTTCTGCAACAAGCCAGAAGAAACTGCTTTTAAAGGGCTTGTGTGGTTAGGTTAGATCCACTGGGATAATCTTCTTATCTTAATGTCAACTGATTAGTAACCATAACTACATCTTCAATATTGCTCTGCCATGTAACATGACATCATCACGCTCCAGGGGCAAAGATCATGGGGGCCATCTTAGCATTCTGCCTACCACAACTATTGATCTTAATAACATTATTCTAGGGAAAGTAAGAAACAGAATGATAAACATAAAATAATACTGGGATGGTTAATTTTATGTGTCAGCTTGACTGGCCACTGGGGGCCCAAATATCAGGTTAAACGTTATTTCTGAGTGTGTCTGTGAGGTCGCTTCTGGATGAGATTAGCATTTGAATGGTGGACTGAGTAAAGCAGATTGCCCTGTCTAATGTGGATGGGCCTCGTCCAATCCAATCCGTTGAAGGCCTGAACAGAATAAAAGGCTGAGGAAGACTCCCTGCCTGACTGTCTTCTAGTGGGGACATCGGTCTTCTCCTGCCTTTGGACTTGGGCTTGGGCTGGAACTACACCATCAACTCTCCTGGGTACCCATGCATATATCTATATCTCCTATTGGTTCTGTTTCTCTGGAGAACCCAGACTATTATAAATATGATCATGAAAACTAAAATATAGGCACATAAAACTACAATATACCTTTTGCAAAAACACATAAATGAATGTCTACTCACCAGACCCGTGGTACTTCAGACCCTGGTACTCGCTTTTCCGGAGGGCTTCTCTTGGAAATCTGCCTGGCTCACATGCTCACTTTCTTCATGTCTTTGCTCCAATGTCATGTCCTGAGTAAGGTCTTTCTTGGCCACCTTGTTTAAAATGGCACCCTCTCCCCCCGGGCATTTCTTTTGTCGTCTCCTCTGTTTCATTTTTCCCTATAGTACTTATCACCCTTTAGTAATACTCACTAGTTAATTTTTCATTGTGCATCCCCTACTAGAATGTAAGCTCCTGGAAGGCAGGGGCTTTTATCTGTTTTGGTCACTGGTGTGTTCCTAGCCCTTCAAACCGACACATAATAGGCATACAATAAGTATCAACTAAATGAGTGATTCCAAATACGTTAGAATGCTTGTCTATGGAGAGAGAGAATGGGAGTGGAGAATTGGGAAAAAATGGAATAAAAAACACTGAAGTGAAAGTCCTGTGGTCTTGTGTGGACCAGTGATGATGGTGCTCAGAAGGGACTCAAAGACTCGCGGCAACAATACCTACAAAACACTCGAGTTGGGGGGCCGGCCCGGTGGGGCAACGGTTAAGTTTACACGTTCCGCTTCGGTGGCCCGGGGTTCGCTGGTTCGGATCCCTGGTGCGGACGTGGCACTGCTTGGCAAGCCATGCTGGGGTAAGCGTCACACACATAAAGTAGAGGAAGATGGGCACGGTTGTTAGCTCAGGGCCAGTCTTCCTCAGCAAAAAGAGGAGGATTGGCAACAGATGTTAGCTCAGGGCTAATCTTTCTCAAAAACAAACAAACAAACAAAAAAAACAGTCGAGTTGGTAGCCTCAGGGAAATATTTTAACTAAAGCAAGATCACAGCTTCCTGATAAGTGGCCTTGAGCTTGCTACTAGGCATAAACCGAACTTCTAGGTTATTTCTGTTTGAGAACAGAAGTTAGGATGTTCGGTTTCTCCTGCATTACAGCTTGACATTCTGTTTTGCTTATAAATCACCTATGGTTGCTTGAAAGCATCAGTTCTTTCCCAAATAACTGTTTGTCACTATACAAACTTAGTGTCCCCATCTTGTATTGTATTCAGTACAAAAACTCAAATTTCTTTCAGAACATTCTCTATTAAAAGTTTTCACTATTGTCATAAACATTGAACTTGATGGCTCTTTAAAATACTGCCTCATTTTTTTTCTCTCCAGTGGTAGAACTCAGGGAAATCAATGCATTCTTCATTTCAGAAATCCATTCTTTTACGTGACTTTTAAAAATGCAGGATGGCACTTTAAGAGTTTAAGTAATGAGCTAGCCTTTTCAGACACTTCTGATACTTTTACTGTGTGTAGGTATAAAGCACAAGAGTTACACCTTTCATAACACCAGCTTACTGAAATGTCTAAGGCTGCATTGTGTTTGATGCTACATCAATTTTTCATGGAAATATGATTTACCTTGAACTCCTCTACAACAGTTTCAAGATTTTTTTCTCCCTGGTCTTTGGTAGCAGCTTACTGCAATGCTCAGGTGTTACTTTAGTTTCCTCGACACTGTTGAATATTACTACTGAGTACATTGTTCTTTGTAGTGTCACTGTGAATGGAAAATTTGCTAACGTAATTCACTTTTGTTAAATTTATGTTATCACTATCTGTCAGAAGCAAAGAGGTTATTACAGGAAAAATATATCTTTCAAAGAATTGGAGGAGGGGCCGGCCCTGTC